AGCTGGATATCCTGGAGTCTGAAGTCAGGTGGGCCTTAGGAAGCATCAAACATAGCTAGTGGAGGTGATGGAATTCCAGTTGAGCTATTTCAAGGCCTAAAAGATGATGCTGTTAAAGTGCTGCACTCAATATGCCAGCCAATTTGGAAAACTCAGCAGTGGCCACAGGACTGGAAAAGTCAGTTTTCATTCCAATTCCAAAGAAAGGCAATGCCAAAGAATGTTCAAACTACAGCACAATTGCACTCATTTCACACGCTAGTAAAGTAATGCTCAAAATTCTCCAAGCCAGGCTTCACTAGTACGTGAACTGTGAAGTTCCAGATGTTCAATCTGGATTTAGAAAAGGCAGAGGAACCAGAGATCAAATTTCCAACATCCGTTGGATCATAGGAAAAGCAAGAGAGTTCCAGAAAAACACCTACTTCTGCTTTATTGACTACACCAAAGCCTTTGACTATGTGGATCACAACAAACAGACTGGTTGCAAATTGGGAAAGGAGTACGTCAAGGCTGTATACTGTCACCCTGCTTATTTAACTTATATGCAGAGTACATCTCGTGAAATGCCAGGCTGGATGAAGCACAAGCTGGAATCAAGATTGCCGGGAGAAATATCAATAACCTCAGACAAGCAGATGACACCACCCTTATGGCAGAAAGTGAAGAGAAACTGAAGAGCCTTTTGATGAAAGTGAAAGAGTAGAGTGAAAAAGCTGGCTTAAAACTCAACATTCAGAAAACTAAGATCATGGCATTTGGTCCCATCACTTCATGGCAAATAGATGGGGAAACAGTGGAAACGGTGACAGACTTTATTTTCTTGGGCTCCAAAATCACTGCATATGGTGACTGCAACCATGAAATTAAAAGACGCTTGCTCCTTGGAATGGAGGCCTGGCATGCTGCAGTCCATGGGGTTGCAAAGAGTTGGACATGACTGAGCGACTGAACTGAACACTATTTTAGTATTGTACAATTCCTCATTCCTGATTTTTCTTGCATTATTTTTTTTTTCCTGCACTATTTTCCCCAGTAGCTCAGACAGTAAAGAATCTGCCTGCAAGTTGGGATCCCTGGGACAGGAAGATCCCCTGGAGAAGGGAATGGCTACCCACTCCAGTATCCTTGGATAGAGGAGCCTGGCAGACCATGGGGGTCGAAAAGAGTCAGACATGACTGAGCGACTAACACTTCACTTCAACCGTAAGTGGTCCCAGGTTCCATATGTTATTTGGGCTTCCTTGGTGGCTCAGATGGTAAAGAATCTGCCTGCAGTGCAAGAGACCATGTTTGATCCCTGGGTCAGAAAGATCCCCTGCAGAAGGGAATGGCAACCTACTCTAGTATTCTCGCCTAGAGAATTCCATGGACAGAGGAGCCTGGTGGGCTACAGTCCATGGGATCCCAAAGAGTTGGACATGACTGAGAGACTTTCACTTCTTTTAATACAGCTCATCATTTTCTATGATACGGGGTAATTTATGTATGTATTATTTTATTGTGTGTTTCTCCCTGCCAGAGTGCAAGCTCTAGGAGGGTAAGATTTTTGTTTATCAGTATGTCTTGAATGTCTAGGGTTGAGCTTGGCACATAGTATTTGTGGCAAATATTTGTTGAATAAGTGAATTACTGAGACAAACATGGGACATAAAAGAAAAGATACAAAATCATCTAGGTAAAATATATACCCACAAGCAAATCTCTTGTTTTTTCCTACCTGATAAAGTCCAAACTCCATGTAGTCTTTCCTTCAGTGATTTGGACACTGATTGCTGCTGCAAGATTGAGCAAGGAATAAGTTTTCATCTTTTGACAGGTCAGCAGAAGAGGTATTTGTGGTCTGTTGGCCTGTTGTTTGTACGCTTTTGGTTAAGCTAACACTAGTGCACTTTGGAAACAGCTAGAAGATAGCATTAAGCCAGCTGCCTTGGCATTTACAGGATTTCAGGACAGGCATGGAGCCCTTGGAGGACAAAAACAGAACCATAGAGCAGAGGTCTTCCATGTGGAAGAGGCATACTCCTGCACATCCTGGAAGACAGTCCAAGGGACCTGCAGTTTTAAGGAAATGGCTTCCATCTTTCAACTTCCGTTTTACTCTTGCCTGAAATTGGCCTGCTTGAGAAGAAGTCTGACTACACACTAGTCCTCCTTCCATTTTACAAAAGAAAAACATCTCTTAGAATTCAAAGAGAAGGATATGTCAAAATACTAGTTTCAAAGAAAACTTTTAGAAAATTAATCAAGCCATTTTGTCCCTTGACAGATGAATTGAAAACAGTGTGTGGTACATACATGTCATCAGTTCGTCACTCAGGCTCAGTTGTGTCCGACTGTTTGTGACCCCATGGACTGCACCACACCAGGCCTCCCTGTCTGTCACCCACTCTGGAGTTTACTCAAACTCATGTCCATGGAGCCCGTGATGTCATCCAACCCTCCCGTCCTCTGCCGTCCATTTCTCTGCAGACATAGAATACAATGAAGTTACTCAGCCTTAAAAAGGAAGGCTGGGGTGCGCTACAACATAGAGAAACCTTGAGGACTTGATTATTGAATAAGCTCATCATGAAAGGAAAAATACTGTGTGATTCCACTTACATAAGGAACCTAGATGGTCAGATTCAGAGACAGAAAGTAGAAGGGTGCTTTCCAGAAGTCAGAGCAAGCAGGAGGGAATGGGGTGTTTAATGGGTAGAGTTTCAGTTTTTCAAGATGAAGAGTTCTGAGACTGATGGTGGTGATGGTTTCACACTGAACTGTACACTTAAAATGGTTAGGATGGTTAAAGAAAACTACCAAGTCATGCCAAACCTAGGACTTTCTATCAAATATGTATTTCTGTAAAGGACTTGCTTGGCTTTAGAAATCGATACTTGAAAGCCTGTGTTGAGATACTCTGGAATCACAATGACCGAAGCAATATTAAATATTTAAAATATAAGTGCCGTTTTCTGATGGGCTTTTGAGAACCAGTGGATAAAACTCACCAATAAGAACTTTACACTTTAAGATTGTGCGTGCTTTTAAAACGATGTTTTTTTTTAAAGGTTAATATTACATATTCAATCCACATTATTCAATCTGATTATTATTCAATATTCAATCCATATTATTCCACTTGGTTAAAAAAAATCCTTTGCTATTTACTAAGAAAATCCTTTATTTAAACTTGCATTTAGAAAGTTGCTCCGTCAAGTTCAATGCGTGAGATAGTTTTTCCCAAATGTTCTTAGGCGATAGGCCATTAAACGCCTCTCGCTTTCGAAGCTCGGGAAGCTCTTCTGCGCTTTCCTGGGTTCGGTTCTGCCAGGTTCGCAAGCCACAAGGCAGAGCTGGATGCCAGGAAATCCAGCGGACACCCTGGCGCGCGCGCGTGCGCGCGGGGGCGGGGACGTGCCTCCGCGTGACCGCCCAGCCCGGGCTGGCTTTCCCGGCTGGCGTTCGCTCAGTTCCCGCCACATTTTTAAGTTTCATTTCCCACCGCGAATGCCGGCTCCTCCTCCCGCGCGGCCTGTTCCCGGAGCTGGTCTCCCTCAGGGGAACAAGAGAACGCCAGCCATGGCCCCACCGCGGGGAAAGGCGACGCGGAGAGCTGCGGAAACCGCCTCCGGGGTTTCGGCGCCGGGTGTGAAGGGCGGCGCTGCCGCGGAGCCCAGGGAGCCCGCGGCTGTCCCAGAGGCCGCCCGGCCTGGCGCGCGCAGGTGCGGTCCCGCTGGGGCGTCGGGGGCCGGGAGGAAGAAGCCGCAGGTGCGCGTCGAGGACCAGGCGGAGGGGCCGGCGGCTCCGACCGCAGACGCAGAGCCCCCCGCGGTCCCCGGGCACCCCCTGCCCAGGGCTACCGCTCGCAGCCGGGCGACCGCGCGCTCCGCTCGGGCGGGGAGACCGCAGTCCGGGCCCCCGGAAGGCCCCGGCCCCGGCCCGCGGGCCCCCGCCCCGCATCTCGGGCAAAAGGAGGAGGCGCCCGGCGCCTGGAAGCCCCGGGCCGTGCTGGAGAAGTTGAGGCTGAAACGTCAGGAGATCTCCGTGGCGGCGGCGGTGGTGAACTCGCTGGTGGACCACCTGCTGCGGCGGCTGAATAGCCGCGAGTCGGAGTTCAAAGGCGTCGACCTGCTCCGCTCCGGGAGCTACTACGAGCGCGTGAAGGTGAGCCGCCGGGCGCCGCCACCGCAGTTCCCGGGCGAATACCCACCTCTAAGGTGCCCCTCACTTCTCTTCGGAAGTAATGCTTGAGTGGCCTGTGACACTGATTTGATTTGGCTTTCCCTGTAGATTGTAAGCTGCACCGTCGGAGAATGTTTTACACATTTTGAACCCTGTATGGCTGCTCATTTTATTGGTGTGGACTCAGTGCTATTTGAAGTTCAGTGTTGAAGCTGAAATTCCAAATACTTTGGCCACCTGATGCGAAGAGCTTACTCATTTGAAAAGACCCTGATGCTGGGAAAGATTGAAGGCGGGAGGAGAAGGGGACGACAGAGGATGAGATGGCTGGATGGCATCACTGACTCAATGGGCATGAGTTTGAGTAAACTTTGGGAGCTGGTAATGGACAGGGAGGCCTGGTGTGCTGCAGTCCATGGGGTCACAAAGAGTTGGACACAACTGAGCGACTGAACTGAACTGAACTTTCTTATTCCTATAACTTTGATTTGGCTGTGACTCCCAACTTAAGCACCTGTGCCAATCTCTTGCTTGAGACACTGTATGTTAGAAGATGGTTTGTCTTTTTCAGATTTAAAATCAGGCTTTATTGTGTTACTGCTGCCATGACCTTTCCTTTTGTCTCCTGTCCATCTTGATAGCCTGGAAGACAGAGACTGAAGATCAAACATGTTCCCCTGGGTCTGGTTTTCACAGCAGGTGGGACATAACTGTGGTCATGTGGGTGGGGTGTCAAGGTGAGTCTCATTGGGAAATACTCTATGGCACAATGTTTGGACTGGAAGTAAGGTGTTCAAAAGGGTGTAGTCCTTAGACTCACATTTATGCAGGCATTGTGACATATTCTGAAGATGTATCTGCTCAAGTTCAAGCTGGGAGGATATGAGCACATTGGTTTAGTCTCCAAGGAGGAAGAGGGGACAGTTTTAGACTTAGGCCAGTCAGTATCTGCTTTTCCTTCTTGAGACTGGGACCATTGTAAGTTCTATTTCGGGAGAAGAGAATTGCATGGGAGTTGACACTGAGGAAAGTGTGAAGGTAAGGATAATTTAACTAAGAAAGTCTTTCAAAACAGTTGAAATTTGGGAGAGAAAGAACTGATATGGAATGGTGGAGAATCAAAAAAAAAAATAAAGCTATGTATGCTTACATACACATTGCTTTGAGAATGGAGGCAAGTGATAAAGTGAGCTCAAGAAATAGCTCAAATTGGTGTATTGAATTGGATTTATAAATGTCTTGATATGAGTTACTAAATAAGATTTAGTAATATTTTATTTTGGTCATGGCTCAAGATGAATTTTTACTTAAAATTTTGTGGTGGCTGAAGACGAATTGTTAGTTTAAGTTTTTCTCCATGGTATTCATTTATATTTGGTTCAGAATCCAATAAGTAAATTTTAGAATCTGTTTCTCGCGGCTATTTTGAGTTCTCTCCTCTTTTCGTACACAGGCCTTGTCATTGTTTAAGTGGCTTTGGTTATGGGAATGAACCCCTAACACCTGATTTTGCACTTGAGATTTGCCCAATATTACCCCCAAATGCGAGAGTTTTAAAATATTTCCCTTTTGGGTGGTGTATGTGTGTTTGTGTATGTCAGGGGTTGGCCAGAAAAATACAGCTAATGGGGGTTTCAGGCATTGTTTCTTGTCTTAGCTTAACGGCTGATGTTTGGTGTCATTAGGAGCAGAGGGTTTTTTTCTGGATGGGGAAGGGTATAAATTTTTAGGATGGCTGGAAGCTATAAAACAGTGATTGAATCTTGAAGCTCACCATTTTAGGGCTGCCTGAACCTTTATACGTGGTGCAGTCAAGCAGGGAGGAAGCTGCGAAAGGCCCTTCTGGCTTGTTAGCCTGGTGATCTCCCCGGGGTTTCTGCTGGCTGGCTGGCAGGTTTGCTCTGCTTTGTGGAGGTTACTAGGTTTTTACCAGGTGGTGGTGTTCTAGAAGTTGACTCACTCAGAACCTCAAACATCACTCCAGTCAACTTCTAGAACACCACCACCTGTATATCTGCCTTTAGTTCCTTGCTTTACTATTGCCTGCAAAGCCTAGTAATACCGAGTTTAATACGATCTCAATCCAAGAGCCGACATGTTGCCCTTGGAAGCAGAACACGGGGCTCTCCTCTCCTCCAGTAGTTTTGCCTGGAGGATTCCATGGACAGAGGGGCCTGGCAGGTGACAGTTTAGGGGGTTGCAAAAAGTTGAAAACGACAGCACATGAGCCCCATGATCACAACAGAAGAGGAATCTGAGGCCCTGAGGGGGTAAATAAGTTTCCCCAAGACGTGGAGTGGGTAAATGGCAAAGTTGGGATTCAGATCTAGTTTTCTAGATCTTCAGCTCTTCCTCAGTTTTAAAATATTCCTATTTATTTATTTTAACTAAATATACCCCCTATCTCCTAATCTTAGACATGTGTATTGTTTCTAACTTGGTACCTGTATTTCCAGTTAGATGTTTAGGATAAATTCCTAGAAGTGCCTTCCCTGTACCAAGGAATGTAAAATCTTGAAGATTCCTTTAGAATATATCAGATTCTTTTCCAGAAAAGTTAAAAAAATTTACAGTGTAGAGGTACTTTTCAATCCCATGTAGAGTATTTTTTAGTCTCTTGTGGTTGCCTAAGCTATGACATGGAGAAGGAAATGGCACCCCACTCCAGTCCTCTTGCCTGGAAAATGCCATGGATGGAGGAGCCTAGTAGGGTACAGTCCACGGGGTTGCAAAGAGTCGGACACGACTGAGCGACTTCACTTCACTCACTTCATACTTTATCCCTGGAGAAAGAAATGGCAACCGACTCCAGTATTCTTGCCTGGAGAATCCCATGGACAGAGGAGCCTGGCTGATGTAACTAAGCATGCATGCACGCACTCACGCACGCAAGCTATGACAAGTAAGAGGACTCAGTAACACTGTGATAAAGATGGTGGTTAGCATAATGAATCCGTGAATCTCTTGGGGCAGGAAGGAGCTCCAGGTGTCAGGTAGGCCACCTCCTTCTTTATTAATTAAGGACCAAGGCTCAGAGAATCCATGAATGGAGGAGCCTGGTAGGCTACAGTCCACAGGGTTGCAAAGAGTTGGACACGACTGAGCGACTTCACTTCACTCACTTCATACTTTATCCCTGGAGAAAGAAATGGCAACTGACTCCAGTATTCTTGCCTGGAGAATCCCGTGGACAGAGGAGCCTGGCTGATGTAACTAAGCATGCATGCATGCACGCACGCACGCAAGCTATGACAAGTAAGAGGACTCAGTAACACTGTGATAAAGATGGTGGTTAGGATAATGAATCCGTGAATCTCTTGGGGCAGGAAGGAGCTCCAGGTGTCAGGTAGGCCACCTCCTTCTTTATTAATTAAGGACCAAGGCTCAGAGAACTTAAGGGACCTCACCTAGACCATGCCACTCATTAGAGTCAGAGTCTGGATAAGAAGCTGCACTTTGAACTATGCGGTACACTGAGGCAGAGTCTATAGGATGGTATGGATGATTCATGGGCTGCTGAAATGTCCGTCTGGGGTCTCAGCTGGAGATTTAAGAGACTTTTAGTGTTTGAGTCAGCTTCACAGTTCATCTTTGAAACTTCACAGTTTTGTCAGGAGGATGTGGAAGTAACTCAAAGGGAACTGTCCCAAACCAAGAGGTCCAGCACCCAGCCCTACTGGGCTGGGGGGAATCCTGAAATCCCCCTTTCATGAGTTCTTCTATACTGACCTACTGTCAAATCCACAGGGATGATTCTGAGTTCTCTCTTTGTTATTCTGTAGAAAGTACAATAGCTTTGAACAAAGGACTGCTCAAGTAATTGAAAACTCACATTTTTTTTGGTCAAGACCAAAAAGAAAGAGTATTTCTGTTTTTTTGTTGCTTGATCATATAGCAGTTATGTTTACAGAATTTACGATCTGATTTGGCTTGGTATCCCTCTGAATCTGCTGGATTAAGCTGTTAAATGTCAACTTTTAACCACTTAACTCAATAAAGGGTTGTTTCCTGCAAAAATCTCATGCAATCTGGTTGACTGTCTTCTGTGTTGTAGATATGCCATGCCTAGGTCGCCAAGGCAGGGGAAAAACAAGTTAAAGGAGTCACATCAGCTCTTAACTGACTTAGCATGAAAGTGACAAATGCCACAATCTGCTGGACAGAACTAGAAACATGGTTCTGATTAAAGTGGAGAAGAAGCTGGGAAAAGTGTGTGGAAGAGTACACAGATATTTGATGAGCACTAGTGGTCTCTTCCACACACTTGATGTTTGATACTCTGAAATTACCTACTTAAATTTTTTTGTAGGCAACTTCATATCTCTTTGAGTTGTAAACAAAAAGATAGAACTTTCCCATTACTATCTTTCAAATGTGATTAAAGTGTGTTGGCTAAGTACATACTATTACTTTTAAGAGATCTTTTGAGCTCCTTATTAAAAACAGTGAAAGTTTTTTTTTAATAATTGTGAGATTTGGATAAGTAATTTCACTTCTCTACACCTGTATCCCAATTGAAAATGTGATTTAACCCCTGATTCGTGGGTATATTGTGAAAATTAGGTTAGAGATTACATGTAAATCAGTAGACAAAACACCTAGAATAAGGTTCAGTGTTCAACGAATGTCTAATTTTTACTTGATGGTATTGTTGATCTTGTAATTGGTCTATGTCTGTCGACAGTTATACTGGATCCTCTGACTCAGCAGTATATATCTACCATCATCAGAAGATAGTATACAGGAATAAGTGATGTTTTGGCCAAGTTTTGGAAATGAAACACCTTCATCTTCTCTGTGTTCTTATTTTGGTAGTTATGGGGAATTTCAAAGGCCATGCTCTCCCTGGATCCTTCTTTCTTATCATGGGGATTTGGTGGACTATAAAGTGCATTCTGAAATATGCCTTCAAAAAGCAGAAACGGACTTCTTACCTTGATTCCAAAGCATTATTCCGTCGAATTGAAGTGTTGGAAGGAATCATAATAGTTGGAATGGCTTTAACTGGTGAGTGACCCTTTTCTGTGTTCTGTTTGATTTTGGGGGTATTTTCACATGCAAAGAGAAAATTCAATATCAAAACAAAAAATTGCTAAAATAAACATTTATTAAAAACACCTGAATACCTATTCTAATTGTAATTTCTACCTGGTATAATTTTTTAGAACTTATACTTCATGTTATACAAAGGGCTATTCCTTATGAGTTAGTCATAGCAATTAACTTGCCTGTCCACTCAAGGTGAATTTCCTTTTTAGATTTAGTTGGAGCCTTTTTTATGTCAGTTATTCTGAGGCCTCAAAGAGTTAACTCTATCCAAGACATTTTTCAAAATGTCATGAAGATAATCAAGTGATTATGGGAAAGTGTCAATAACAAATTATTGCTGATAGGCTATCCACAGGGTTCTGGTTGAAGAAAACCTTATCTTCTGTGCTCATCCTTTTTGTGTGGTTACTAAATTAGAGAGGGAGGTTGGGCCAGATGATTCTAAGGCCTTTCCATTGGCTCTATGACTCTGTAAAAATGTTCTTTGTTTTTAGAGTTCCACTTTAGCCTCTCCTTTACTGAAGGCAAAACTTCCTAATTTTCCTTTAGATTTCTTCATGCTTTGTTCATGATGAGAGGTCTTTGCAATGGTCATCCAACTGTGGATCAACTGTTTTTCAAAGAGAGGAATTTCCTTGCCAAATTCTATAGATTAATAAATGAAGCAGCATCTTCAAGAAGGTTTTTCAGAATTTATGTAACTGGCTAGACTATATGCTATATCTGTGTGTGCTTTCTCAGTTATCCTTAACTGGGGAGAAGCTGAACTCTAGCATTTTAATCCTGAACCAAGATCAACTCACTACCCAAAGATGTATTATGTAAGAAGAAATAATCAGATGCTATAGGATTAACCTCACAAATCTAAATCTAAAATTACTCAGGATTTATCTAGTCATTAGATTAAAGTAGGAACTAAGGCCATCAGGGGAACTTATCAGGGAACTCTGTGGAACTAAGACCATTATCTTTGAAGATCTGAAATAGCTGTTTGATGAAACTCACTATCTTTGACTAAGAGTGATTATCCAAACCAATCTTTGAAGCTTCAAAACCAGCCTAAAGAACCAGTGCTCAGCTGTTAGGTAACAGCCCAGATAGAAGAATCCGTGCCAATAAAAGACAGTATATTGGGCTAAGAAGTAGGCTGGTCCTTCTGCATTTTCCCTTTTCAGTAAAATTGTGGAAAGATGGCTTAAAGTGTGATATATCCCTCTTCAGGCATCCTTGGAGAACAGTTCTTTCCTGGAGGACCACACCTGACCTTGTATGACTACCAAGAGGGTCAATGGGTCCAACTCCTGAGCTGGCAGCATTTTACCATGTACTTCTTCTTTGGGCTGCTGGGTGTGACAAACATCTTATCTTCTACCATCATTTCACTTCCTGCCTCCTTTAGCAAGTTAATGTTATCAAATGCCTTATTTGTGGAGGGTAAGTATGAGTATTTTCATATACCTTTCATTATTCTTGGACATTTGTCTAGCCCTTTACAATAATATTTCTTTTGTGTCCTGGCATAGCCTTGGCTCATAAGGTTATCTGTTTGGTTCGGGCCATGGTGAGCTATCAAGATGTCCTAGACAGGATGCCAAAGATTTTCCTTCCCTCCTGACTCATTTGGGCTTTCCTGGTGGCTCAGTTGGTAAAGAATCTGCCTGCAATGCAAGAGACCTGGGTTTGACCCCTGGGTCAGGAAGATCCCCTGGAGAAGGAAATGGCTACCCACTCCAGTGTCCTTGCCTGGAGAATTCAGTGGACAGAGGAGGCTGGTGGGCTACAGTCCACAGGGTGACAAAGAGTTGGACGTGACTGAATACCAACACACACACACTGACTCATTTAGTACAGCCGGACAAGCCCAGTCATTCAATGTGTTTTATCCACATTTCACACCTTTCTTAAAGAAATACCTGCTCTAGGATTCTTGCCTGGAGAATTCCATGGACAGAGGAGCCTATTGGGCTACAGCCATGGGGGTTGGAGAACTTGTCTGTTTTGACTAAGCAACGAATCAGCAGCAATGACGGCCATGGCTTATCTCTGATTTATCCAAGAGATGATCATTATTTCCATTTTTTACATATGAAATTGAGCTCAGAATAGTGAAGCATAAATATTCTCAAGGGAGGAGACCACTCACAGTAGAGTAGCTTCCAAATTACAAAGTAGCCTTTTTAGTATTGATATAGTGCAACTCCACTGTTACATGATAAGCAGGGTCCAAAAAATCCAGTCGCATAAAAATGAGGTCCTAACATTCCTTGTTCTGTTAGCCTCCCTGTTACTCTGTACAGAAACACCAAAAACAAGTATTTAATGATTTTTTTTCATTTATTTTATATGTAAGGGATAGATTGATTGTAGAACTAGTAAAATCTCCCCATTATCAAGAGGTAGTCTTTCGTAATGTCCACTTTGCCTCCCACATCCAAATGTAAGAGGTTTAGTTGGGCACCAGCTATGATGCCATGATTCTCTTAATCTCACGATGTTATCATATTTTCAGTGAATATCTTTTCCCCCTCATCTTAATGAAAAGGATGAAACTGAAGCCAGCATCTCTGTCCATGGGATTAAAAAATATAGTTAGTTACTACTTCTTGGGAGCTTCCAGGGAATCTCATCATACCCATCAAATTCCACTCTTCTGACTTGTGTGTATATTTACTGCCTTCAGTGAACTGAATTTCTTAAGGTGAGGCTTTGTCTCATTCATCTGTCTGTTCACCTTCATACCTGTTTCACTGTTGCCTTCATGCTTATTATTCTTAATTTTGCATAAAAGATGGCTTTGAAATATAGTTATAGAAAATGTCATGATGTATTGGAGAAGAGAATAAAGGCTGGGGAAGGGGAAAGGAAATTTCAAAGATTCCATCCTAAAGAGGTAGTGTTGACTCCAAAAATGCTGTGTGCTCAGTCATGTCTGACTCTTTTGCCACCCCATGAACTGTGGCCCACCAGGCTCTTTGTCCATGAGATTTTCCAGGCAAGAATACTGGAGTAGGTTGCCATTTCCTATCCCAGGTGATCTTCCAGACCCAAGGATCGAATCCACATTCCCTGTACCTCCTGCATTGGCAGGTGTATTCTTTAGGACTGTGCCACCTGGGAATTCCCCCCAATGCTAGAGGTTTCCAATATTGTAGGAAGCAGTGGGCATCTGATATTTTGGACAAATAAATGTGTGTGTTTATGAAAGTTGTGTATTGAGGGAAGCAGTAGATAGTTTCACTGAAAAGGACAAACAATATTTTCTGCCTCTGACAGCTTTTGTCTTCTACAATCACATTCATGGCCGGGAAGTGCTGGACATCTTTGTGCACAAGCTTCTGGTCTTGGTCATCTTTTCGGCAGGCCTGATTGCCTTCTTGGAGCTTTTCACACAGACCAGTATAACTGTGGAACTTCTGCGGACAAGCCTTATCCTGCTTCAGGGAAGCTGGTTCTGGCAGGTGAGCTGGGGCCTCCAGTCTATGTGCCTGGTGTCTGCACTGATGACCTTCTCTCTTTGATTGTGGGTGTTGTGCTCTGAAACCCAGAGACTTCCTTCTGATATTCTGCTGGCAGTGAGAATGTGAGCCTTTGAGAGGTGATGCTTAATTGAGGGCCCAGCAACCCTAGGTAGGAATAGTGGCAGAGCAGCAGGGAAGGAGGTGGGACATGTACACCCTCATCACACACCTGGATATCCATTTTGTAGGAACTGTGAGCTGGTGCTTAGCTGGAAGCAGTTCCTGATGCTAAAGTCACTTAAAGCCTAATGAGTAATAAGCTTGAGAAACATATGGAAGGCAGGAAAGGGTGGTAATTATGTATTAAGGAATAAGTATGTGCTGGCCACTGGACACAACTTTTACCATACACATTATTTCATTCTCATTTTATCCTTGTGTTTCATTTTGTCCTCACAACAACTTGGAAGTTAAATATCATCATCCCCAATTGACTGATAAAGAAGGCTCAGAGAGAGCCAGTTGCTTTCCCAGGATCACACAGTAATGGAGCTAGGTTCTAAACATGGGTCTGTCTGACTCCAAATCCCAGACATTTTCCATTTTACTGTTGACTCCCTAATCTTGAAGTGTTGTTGAAAACATGTATTCCTATTAGTGAACGTATACTATACAGCAGGGGTCCCCAACTTTAGGGATCTAATGTCTGATCTGAGGTGAAGCTGATATAATCTGAAAAAACATGAAGTACACAATTAATATAATGCACTTGAATTGAACTGAAACTCTCACTTCCTCCACCCTGGTTCATGGAAAAATTGTCTTCCACGAATTCAGTCCCTGTTGCCCAAAAGATTGGGGACCACTATTTTATAGAGACTGATAAATCATAATCCAATATACATATATAGATATAATGAAAGTCTGGGATGAAAGGTGAATGTGGTTTAATGACAGAAGATTTCTTAAAGGAGATTTTTAGTCAGTAAAGTTCAAGGATATGGGATGATGAGGTTCTTCCAGGGATTTGCATTTCAGTGAAGAGTGATAACAATGCCTTGGTGGGCAAGGGGCAGAGAAACACCATGGTCAAAATGGGAGCTAGGAAAGATGTGATATGTAAGCTTGTGGGGGAGTAGAACAGCTATTGGAGAACAGGCGAGTAAAGAGCTAGATTCAAGGGTTGTTTTGAAGGAAAAACCATATAGAAAAAGTAAATAACTTATCATGTGATAAAATTTATAATCAGTGAATTTAACCAGCTGGTATACAGAAGTTGTATTGTGAGTTTATTTATCATCTGTTGGGAAGCTAAATAGAATGGCATGTAAAACATAATTATGCATTATGTATCTCTCGATGGGAATATTTTACTATATATTGTGCATGTATTGCTGTATTGCTGATCAAAACTAAATATAAATTTTAAAAAATTCAACAGTGGTAACTTCTGACCCAGATGACAAGTGGGTTTATACTTCAGCATATCTCCTCTGATTCAAACATATAACAGTGATACATAAACTATCAAAAATACCCATGAAATTAAAAAGATACTAAAAAAGAGAAAAATAAATGAAAATAAGACAGTAAAAAATATGTAGTTGCAATTAAACAACCCAAACTAGGGCAAGCCACCTGCGGGCCAGACAGAATAGAAATGCATAGTTGGAGAAGATATGGACTGCAGGCCTATGGACTCCCGGTCTGGGGTAGATATGACGGCTGGTCGTTTGGCTCCAGGGACACTAAAAGGAAATTAAAAATTCCTGTCAATGTGGGGTAAAGTCAGGCTCTTGGAACTCTTTTTAATTATATGTTTATGTATTATCTATTTCTAATCGCTTTTCATNCAGGCTCTTGGAACTCTTTTTAATTATATGTTTATGTATTATCTATTTCTAATCGCTTTTCATTCTGTTGATCTTTCACTTTCTGATAGAGATCTGTTAAAATTTTATATTAGTTATGGATTTGTCAATTTCTCCTTATTTTCATTTTTTTCTTTAATGTCATGAGATTGTGTTCTCTCTAGTTTTTTTTGAGTTGAATGTTCACTTACATTTAGTTTTCTTATTTTTACATGTAATACATCTAAGGCTTCGTGTGTGCCCAGTCGCTTCAGTCCTGTCTGATTCTTTGCGACCCTTTGGACTGTAACCTGCCAGGCTCTTCAGTCCATGGGGCTCTCCAGGAAGAGTACTGGGTTGCCATGCCCTCCTCCAGGGCATCTGCCCAGCCCAGGGACTGAGCCCAGGTCTTGCACAGCAGGTGGATTCTTTGTTGCTGAGCTGCCTGGGAAGCCCCGTACCTTTCCATAGAGTCCCTCTTCTCTGTACTGCTGTGGCTACCTCCTGTGAGGTTTCGTGTATGGTAGCTTTCACTCTTGGGACATTTTGAATGTTGCATTTTCTATGTGCTTTCCTCTTTAATTTATGAGTTATTTAGAAGCATACTTTTCAGTTTCCCCAAAATATCCTTTCTTTTTTATTATTTATTTGCAATTCTATTGCTTTGTATGTGTTCCCTTTGAAATGTGTTGAGACTGCCTTTGGAATGCAGCCCAGTGTCCCTGGTAGTAAAATGTTCCATGTATTTGAAAAGATAGTATATTCCATCTTTGTTGGGTTGAAGATTCTCTATATATTTACTAAATCAAGTTTTGAAAGAGCTAAATATGCAAATAAAGAAGTTAGAAAGTAAGGAGAAAGGGGGAAACCCAGAGTTGAAAAAAAGAATAATAAAGATAAGCTCAGAATGAATGAAACTATTTAGTGTTTCTTTAATCATTAATGTTTGATTAAATATCTGAGGGAGGAAGCTGTGAGTTTTCACAACTGACTGTAGGTTGGCTTAATATCATTCTTTCTGGCAGAGGAATAATATTTTCATATTTACCCAAGAGCTTTTCTAAGAAAGAGATATGAGGTTAGAATCTTTGGACATAATTCCAAGATCATTTAAAAACCTTCCATCTGTCATTATGCCTAGATTAGTATCTTTCTTTACAAGGTGGCCAGATTAAATAACGTTTGGGACTTAAAGGAAAATGAACATTTGATACCAATGCAAACACACACAGTGGCAGGAAAAGTCAGGTTTAACAACAGTACGTCTCCTCCCCGGCCTTCTCCCTGTTAGTTTCCTCTGAAACAAAAATGTTTCAGGGGCTTAGGTGAATTTATTTTACTTCCATGTTTTGTTGCTGCGGATGTTTATGCCCCAAACACTGTCTCAGGCTAATACTATTACATTGTGATTTGCTTTTCAGCATACTTTTTTCTCTTGCCACTTCTCCATATGTGATTAATAAACAATATATAGACAGATTAGAGAAAAGGTACACTTGGATTCTTGGAACCATAAATATGGAGAGGTGAACAGAATGAGGAAAATGCCCACAGTGGCCATTTTTTAAAATAGCTCATATGTAAATGATTAATAAATAGACAAATGATAAATAAATAGACAAACCTGGAGGGAATTCCCCTCTCCACCTATCAAAATGGTTTCCTGAACCACATTACAGCCAAATATATTTTTCTCAAAAGCCTAATAAAAGCAATTTAGAAAAGATTTTAAAAAAATCTCTCAGGCACATTTACTCCATGAATCATGTTTTCTGAGTCTGTTTGTGGATGAGTATTTCTAAAGCTTGCTTTTGCCCGTTGTCATTCCCAGTGTGAGAACCACAGTGCAGAGAGAATCAAGGAGAGAGGAGGACATGCCTGGGAGGCATTTTATTTTGGAAACCCCGAAAAACAGTTGTGACTGTGGCGTGAAGGGAGAAGTCTGTGAGCCTCTGGGTCGGGCGGTCCCAGATCTGAATTCTGGATCTACCGTATTAATCACATGACCATCTGTTCTGTGTGCTGAAGATTCCTCAACTAAAAAGTAGCAATGATATCTTATGATATTGTTGCTTGAATGAAATGTTCCAACCTGAAAGTGCCTCTGCCTTGAGGAGATACTATTAATTCCACAGGAGGAGGGTTGAGAAATCTTGTAGGTGAAGGTGAACTTTAGTTGGGGTTTGAAAGATAAGTGAGAGTCACCAGTGGGTCCAGGTTTGAGCTTTAGGACAGGTGACACTCTTCTGCTTATTCCAGCCTTAGCTCCTGCATTAGTGTACGAGGGCTGCAACAACAAATCCCGACAAGCAGGAAGACTTCACTGTTCCGGGAGATAGAACTGAAAATCAAGTTGTCAGCAGGTTGGTTCTTTCTTGGGGGCCCCAAGGGAGAATTTGTCAGTCGCCAGCAATCCTTGACTTGCCTTAGCCTGTTGGTAGCATAATTCCAACCTCTGCCTCCAGAGTCACACCTGTGTATTTCTGTACCTGTGTCTTTACATGGACCTCTTATAAGGGCACTCATCACTGCAAAGTGAAAATCGTTCAGCTGTGTCCGGCTCTTTGCGACCCCATGGACTGTACAGTTCATGGAATTCTCTAGGCCAGAATCCTGGAGAGGGCAGCCTTCTTCCCAACCCAGGGACTGAACCTAGGTCTCCCACATTGCAGGTGAGTTCTTTACCAGCTAAGCTACAAGGGAAGCCCAAGAGTACTGGAGTGGGTAGCCTATCCTTTCTCCAGCAGATCTTCCCGATCCAGGAATCAAACCAGGGTCTCCTGCATTGCAGGCAGATTCTTTACCAACTGAGCTATCAGGGAAGCCCCACTCATCACTGGATTTAGGGCCAATTCTGATCCAATATGACCTCATCTGGATGTCATCTACAAAGACCTGACTTCCAAATGAGGTCCATTCACACGTATCAGGGGTTAGGACTTCAACATGCCCTTTTAGAAGGAATGATTTAACCCACAACAACCGCGGAGTCTTCCCTCTGGGAGCTGGAGTTGATCGCTCCCCAGGCAGGGGTAGGTGAGTGGTGTGAATGGCGTTGCAAGGCACACAAGTGAGACTGATGGGGGGGAACTGGAGAGCTAGTCCTTAAACTAGCTAGGTCATTAAACTCAACCTCCCAAAAGGCCTTTGCTTGACACAGATTTGTCTGTCAACCTCCCTGTCTTGACATGAGAGGAGAACACGTGAAGCAATTCTGACTCCCTAGTTGAAATGGCTGGGCCCCTTAAACTGAGAATTGACCACATGGTTTGAGNGGAACTGGAGAGCTAGTCCTTAAACTAGCTAGGTCATTAAACTCAACCTCCCAAAAGGCCTTTGCTTGACACAGATTTGTCTGTCAACCTCCCTGTCTTGACATGAGAGGAGAACACGTGAAGCAATTCTGACTCCCTAGTTGAAATGGCTGGGCCCCTTAAACTGAGAATTGACCACATGGTTTGAGTTCCCTTATTGTCATTTCCAAACAGTGAGCACAGAGGAGCTAGAAAGTCTCTCTTTCTTCCAGGGCCTTCAGGGACCTGGGCTCTCGTCACTTTGGTTTCCACTGTGAGCTTTCCTTGGAGTATTATAAAGGTCCAAACAGCAGGCAAAGCATTCTCCTCCCAGAGTGTATGGGTGCTGTAGGCTCAGATCTCTCATTTGATAACTGACCTATCTTTTGTTAATTACTCGTCCCTTTAGAATGGAACCCTGTCCTCCCACAGAGTCCCCAGCTCTTGGTGGGCATGGCACATCAGCAATGATGCCAGTGCCTTTGTGACTGTTTGGAGACCCAGAGGCAAGTTCGCGCCTTACTTAGATTTCTTATCTGTAAAATAGACACAGCAGAAGGAGTCTGTCTCCTGGGATGTAGAGAAGGGCAGGTAGGAGTTATTATAGACTACCCAGCTTATGTCAGCTGTGATATTTTAGAAAAATTTATGAATGTGACTTTGGTTAATTGGTTAATTAACAATGTGACCTTGGTTAATAAATAAAATGCATAGCACCAGTGGAAAAATGAAGGCCTCTGGACTGCTCCACTTGGTCAGGCAACCTCAACGATGAATCTCAGCTACCAACCTCAACGATGAATCTCAGCTACCAACCTCAGCGATGAATCAGTGGAGAGCACATTTTGCTGCTCATGCTTTGAAATACAGGTCTGGTGTGGCCAGATATTTCTGTTTTTAGAAGTAAGCTGAGACTGTGGACTTCTGCGTGAAGCTTCCTAATTTTTCAAGCAGTGTAAATTAATTCAAATTATTTTAAAAATATGCAGGGCAGGCAAAGCACATCTGTGATATAGATGTGGCTCAGGGTCTGCCAGTCTATAATCTGTGTTTTAAGGGAGAAATAGTACCGTGTCTTCATGGGACCAACCACTGTCTCAGTACTGATTGTTCAAACTGTATCAAACTGCTGTGATGACTCACGTGGACCCTGGTGTCCAAGCCACCGTCCTTCACACTGCCCCATGGAGAAAGGCTAAATGATGAAGGAGCGTGTTGGGTAGAAGAAGGAGCCCCCAGAGGTCTGGAGGCAGGCCCTCCTGGCTTGGAACCCTGTTAGCCATTCAGCCGTTTTGTAATATTGGGGATGTGACTGAAGTCTCTGAGTTGCAGTTCTACCCTCTGTGATACGGGGATGATGACACCCTCTTCTTGGGCTGGTCGTGAGGGTGAGAATTAGGGTGAAGTTTATGTGCATGAGTGAGGTTACAGTGCCTGAAACATGGTACATCTTCCAGGCAGTACCAATGGCAGTTCTCCTTCCAACTAAAGGGAATCCTTTTTGTTTTAAAATATTTATCTATTGGGCTGTGCTGGGTCTTAGTTGCAGCACACAGGATCTTGGATCTTTGTTGGGCATTCAGGATCTTGAGTTTCAGCATGCAACCTCTTAGTTGTGACACGTGAGATCTACTTCTGTGACCAGGGATAGAACCCAGACCCCCTGCATTGGGAGCGCAGAGTCTTAGCCGTTGGATCACCACGGAATTCTCTAAAGGGAATCCTTTCAAATGGGAAGCAGGAGCATGTGATTAAGGCACAACTCTTACTTTTCCCTGATTTATTTGTATTAGTGGAAATTTCCAACAGAAATGGTTTCACTCAGTATTATAAACTAAAATGCTTTTTTTCCCCCAGTAAGGTTACATTTATTAGATTTATGATCAGGAGCAAATTACTAAACCACCCAGTTTTCCAATCTGGTTAATGAGGATAACAATACATGAACTTGGGATAATAATATATTATTGAAGGGCCATAGGAGAGAAACCTCCTAAGCACAGTAACTGACACATAGTTAGCTAATATATGGTAGATTTTTGTACAATTATCCATGTTATTATCTTGGTTTTGTATTTCATTTAGATCTCAAACCTGACATCTGTTCCTCTATCTATCTACCTATCATCTATTTATCTTACTTTTCTTATTGGAGTAAAATTCACATAACAGAATTAAATTCCTTCCTCCCTCTCTTCCTTCCTTGCTTTTTCAGTTTTATTAAAGAATAATTGACATACAGCACTGTATGAGTTTATGATTTACACCACAGTGATTTCATTTACATAATGAAATGATTACCAGAATAAGTTTAGTGAATATCGATTATCTCATGTAGAAACAAAATTAAAGACATTGAAAAAATTGTTTCCTGTGATAAGAAATCTCAGGATTTACTCTCTTAACTTCCATAACATACAGCAGTGTTAATTATATTGATCACATTGTACATTATATCATTTATTTATCTTGTAACTGGAAGTTTGTACTCATTGGCTGCCTTCATCCAATTCCCCTTCCCCCACCTCCCACCTCTGGCAACCACGAATCTGATCTCTTTTTCTATGAGTTTGTTTCTGAAGTGTAACTGACCTAGACCACTATGTTAGTTCCTCATGTGCAACATAGTGATTTGATATTTCTATACATTTGAACATGATCCCTCAGATCTAATATCTATGTAGTATCTGGATCTAGTATCTGCCACTATACAAAGATATTACATAATTGTCTATATTTCCAACACTATATATATTTCATACTTGGAACTCATTTGTTCTGTGATTGGAAATTTGTACCTCTTAATCTCCCTCATCAACTCTCTCATCCCCAGAACCCTCTCCCCTCTAGCAACATTTTATGCTTTTTAAAGTGTATATAATTCAGCAACATTTAGTACATTCCCAGTGTTGTGCGACTCTCACCTCTGTTTAGTTCTAAAATATTTTCATCACCCTGAAAGGAAACTCCAGATCCATTAACCAGTCATTTCCTTTTTTCCTTCCAGTCCCTGGTTACCACTAATGCGCTTTGTTTCTCTATGGTTTACCTATCCTGGTTATTTCATACAAACAGAACCATATAATATATTACCTTTCTCTAATGTAATGTTTTCAAGGTTCATCCATGTTGCATTATAAATTAATGTCATTTTAATGGCTGAATAATATTCTATGGTATGGAAATACCACATTTTGCTTATTCATTATCAGTTGATGGACAATTAGAATGCTTTCAATTGTGGCCCTTGTGAATGATGCTGCTTTGAACATTTGTGTAGATGTTTGAATACCTGTTATTCTCCATTTAACTTTTTGAGAAACTGTCAAATTGTTTTCCACATGGCTGTATCATTTTATGGGCTTCCCAGGTGGTACAGTGGTAAAGAATCTGCCTGCCAATGCAGGAGATACAAGACATGGGTTTGGTCCCTTGGTTGGAAAGATCATCTGGACCAGGAAATGGCAACCCATTCCAGTATTCTTCCATGGAGAGAGGAGCCAGGAGGGCCACAGTCCATGGGGTCACAAACAGTCAGACAAGACTGAGCATGCACACATGTACCATTTTACATTCTCAATAGCAACGCGTAAGGATTCCAATTTCTCCATATCCTTACTGACACTTGTTACTTACTATTATTAATACCATTCTAGGGGGTGTGAAGTGATATTTCATAGTGGTTTTGATTTGCATATCTCTAATAACTAATGATGTTTATAATTTTTTCCTGAGTTTATTGAGGATTTAAACACCTACTTTGGGGGAAATGAGTCTTCAAGTCCTTTGCCCATTAAAATTTTGTTTGACTTTTTGTTGAGATTTAGGAATTCTTAGTATATTCTAGATATCAATTCCTTATCAGATATATGATTTGCAAAATTTCCTCCTATGCTAAGGGTTGTCTTTTCATTTTCTTGACACTGTCCTTTGATGCACGTAAGTTTTAAATTTTGATGTGTCTTGGTGTCATGTCTAAGAAATCAG